TCAAAACACTGGAATAACTTTATTTAAAACAATTTAGTTTACCAAACAATTTATTACATGGTTTTGCTCAAAATAGTGTATTAAGAACAAAAGAGGCGTAGCGATTGTGATAGTGATTATTGCGATACACGCTGTGTGACTTATTTGACGTGCGCTTGACTTCGCATATATGTGCACACCCTTCCAAAACGTGACAAGGCTTCGGGTAGCGTCGCATGGCGTTGCATCGGGTAAGTGTGTTCCTGGCTTTACTCCGTCCCACCTTACCCGTCCCCAATTTAACCATTCCTAATGTAATTGAACCCAACTCAGCACACTCCCAACTAGCGAAAATCATCCAATCCAACCACACATACATGTTAAAACATATCAGATGGGCTATCATAGTCGACCACCATCAGCTCAAAGACGGTTTTGAAGTAGATGGAAACAAAGAAACAGATGACCTTTATTAAAAAAATGTCACGCCGCTGATATGGCCCAAACATTTTTGCTGGATGTAGGTAAATATAATAAAAATATGTAAATATTATCAGAGAACATCAAAGAATATATATTGTGCGGATGAGAAAAAATAGGAATCTTTCGTCAAAAGCAAACCAACAATCTTCTTGCAAGATTGGAAAACCAAGAAATTACAGATTGAATCGGTGGAATAGGCTCAGAATCTTAAAATGGATTTGGACTAGGCATTTCAGCCTCAATGTACATCTGAGAAACATTAGCATGAACCAACACCGTGTTAGGAGGAAACAATAACACAGAAGAAGAGCGTATTTTAGGAATTGCATAAGTAACATTAGAACCAGATCATATAAGTTCAAAACAGGGGATACCATTTCTCTTAAGGGGTGCGTGAGAGCATAACCCTCTGAAATTACACAATTATTATCAAGCCAACAGAGTAATTGAACAAATTAGTTAAACAAACACTAAAATATTACATCTTATTTTATACATTACCAACTCCACTGTTCATATTTTCTCTATTGATAGGTTGAAAAATTCCAAGATCTTCAGATTACAGTTTTAAAACAATTTTGACAACATTCCCCTCAACAAATAAAGGGGGTGAAAAAATAATATATGTATCATTGGCACGGTCCAAGTATAAATACTTTTATTTAAAAAAAAATTAATTATTACTGGGAATTACTGATAGGTGTTCTTTAAGATTGTGAATTATACCATGAGATTTCTCTATGTATAGTTTCTGATGATGGGCCAGGAGCCCGAAACGACCATGTAATTTACTAAATTGAATAAAAGTTTTCAACCACGGAGATCTGGGAATTTTTCAACCTATCAATAGATAAAATATTACATTGTTTGATCGTTCAATTAATTTTATAAAATTGAAGAATAAAACTTCACATAAGTAAAGAAATTTAAATCTTAAATGAGACAAATATGTGTATCAAAGTTTATTGTTACTTACACAAGCATGACTAACATTAAGAGGTTACAAATAATACAAAACAAGTTTTTAAGATTAGCCACCTCGTCCCCACGTTACACAAGGCTCACAGACTTGCATGCTTTAGTTGAAATGCCATGGATTAGGGAGGAATTAAAATACAGGACCCAAAATTTTTCTCTCAAAAAGTCTACTGCGAAAGCTCCATATGTGCTTCAATCCGCACAATATCTTGGAAGCACAGAAGAATAAAACATATTTTATCCTCCTGAATCTCAACCTTCTCAATTATTTAATTATCTGTTACTTAATAACTTATAAAAATATTTAACTACTAACCAACTGATTTGTTAATTTATTAAACTGTTAACCTGTTAAATTGTCCATTTATTACTAATTTGTTAAAATAACTTATTTATTTAATTATTTAAACTAACTTATTTATTTATTTTAAACCAAATATTTCACTGTATATACTATATTAGACCAACTTACTAAATTAATACCTTTTTTCTTTTTTTTGCTGACATTTGTTATTACTGTTATTCTTGGTAAAATTAATAATTAGTTCTTCCAGTTTCTGAACAATACTGTAATGTTTTTGTTAATGCAAAGGATTTGTTAAAGTAAAGGGAAATGGGTTTTCGTGAACATTGTCCCAACAACATCGACCATAATGTTTTTCAGGAGGTATGGTACACAAATGGAGATATGCTAAAGAGGACGCATAGGACCCCGCCACTTTCCCTCAAAAATACATATGTACGCAAATTTCTTATTGTTAGAAAATATCTAGTCAAATAAATAAATAATATCTTTTGTTACTTCTGTTCAGGTTGAATGTTTTATGATTATTTTCACCATGTTATGATGTACGATTGTTTCGATATTAAAAATTAAGCATAAAAAATGTAAATGAGCACAAGGTAAATAATTTAATACTTTTAGGTTTTGACTTATTTGCCTCATACTTTTTTTTCAAGAACAAAGTTTCTTTAATTTAAACAGGTTCATATTAATATAAGTTTTCATATCAATAGGTTTTGTTTCATATTAATAGGTTTTCAGAATTGTTCGAGCCCAAGGTTTTACCGTTTGGTCGTTCGCTTTTAGAAAACACCAACAGAACAATTATACTGCAATGGAAAAAAACAAGTATTTATTTATTTGTCATAAAACCGAAATTAACAAGCGTCCGGTTATAATAAACCCTTAGGAAATTTGTACAATGATACAGTTACTTTGATTGCAGCCTTCATTCTTTTTTTCTTCGCCCTCTGTACAATCTCTATTATATAACACACAATCGTGTTTCGTTCTCGTTTCGATCCCTTCACCGATGGCTCGGTACCGTTCAAGTGGCTAATGAATATTCCCACATAGTCGAAAGGTGAAATTTGGTACGTTTTTAAAATAAAATTTCCTTTTATTTGTTTCGATATTAACGAAATTTTTTCAATTTCCATGGGGGTCTGGATTTAGTCTCATCTAACCAACAGCTCTACGGGAATGCAATCACTATAAAAAAATGATCGAATTTTTTAAAACTACATTATTAATTTAAACGAATTTAACAACAATTGATATTTTCCAACGTGATTTCATTTTTTTAAATCTTAGCAATACTTCAAGGTAAAAGCATTTCAATATTGGGCACTTTAAGACCTTCTACACCGTTAGCCCCTGCTAATAATGGCATATTAGGAACAATTAAAATGATCGATAGACAAACATCCTTCTCTTGGATAATAATTCAACGCATGAGCTATTAGTCAGAAAGACTGACAACAAAAGTGGTCTAAAAAATATTAACGATAGATGAGACGTATGCTGCAAAGTACCAAGAATTTATCTTTTTGTAGTAGATAAAATATGTACTAATATTTTTTATTCTGTCATTATTTCAAAGAATAAACCCAAAAAATATATTCCGATTGGAAGAAAGATGAAAAACCTGAGAAAAAAAAATTATGGAAAGTAAGAAGGCATGAATACATAAAATATCAATTAACTAGTAATTGCACAAAAAAATAATACCCACATTTACACATTACATTAACTAACAAAAAGTACAAAAGCAAAGCAAAAAATCTATTAACAAATATGTCACTAAATTTTGTTAAAACATGTATACAGTCATTCAATTTGATAGATTAGTACAGACTATAGTTGAATTAACAAAAGTGATGATATTGTTTTCTACAAAGGGCTATTTCTGTTGTCTAAATATTTACTAATCAATTTGCAATCAAGCTAATAAATAATGTCGTGCTCGGCGATGTGGACAGATTGTGGTCAGTACATACATGTATTATCTGATAAATTAACGAACTATTTTGTTTAATTAGGTCGTTTCCGATCTTTTTATCCGAATATCCTCGTTAGATTGGTCTGTGAGAGGCATTTCGGCATTTCGACATCTTCAGAGAGTCTGAAACAGGGAGAAAAGCTCCACGAGGATAGGCAGACGAAAATGATTAGTAACGTCGAAATGGTTTATCACTCTGCAGACCTCTCGGAAAGTGGAGACTTACAATTTATTTTTTAATTTAAACATGTGAATTTTATGCATTGATTATATATAAAAATATTTCTCAATAAGACTAGTTAAAGCTACACTATATTTTTTCTATCACTTCACACTATTAAGTAATATTTTTAATGAGAGAGTAATATCTTTGACTGTTTTTTTTTAATCCGTAGACAACGATGTTGGTTTAATGAATTTACTCTAGTACTTCTGTTTTTCCATATTTTATTTTGAAAGCATTTCGAGTTATTCCATAACTTTACCTAAGCTGAAGGTCGGTTATGATTCGGTCGCACCACCGTCAGCTGAGATATGAATCGCCGAAAAACCATTGTTCATGGATCAAAATGGATACGCCCTATTATCCTCAGTGAAATGACATTCTAATACTAAATGAATTAAAGAATAAATTAATGTAATAAATAACAGAAAATCAGTCTATACCAAAACATTTCACACCAAGCTAATAAATATATTCTTCTCTTTTTTAGTGTCTAATTTATTATTAATTCTAAACTTCTACTCAAGCTACAATAAAATTAATTTACAAATATGGTAATAAATAATTCAATATTTTTTTTTTAGCACCAAGAAGAATATCTTCTGTTTACGTACAACTAATAGTGTTTAAATAATTTCATGTCAATTACTTTCATTTTAATCAATACGTCCAACACTGCAAACATACAAGAAAACATAAAATTATTATTTGAAACACAAATCATCATAATTGAAAGTAAGGAAAATATACAATGGCACTATGACTGAGCTTGAGATTATTGTATGAAAACGTACAATCGTTATATACTATCTTGGTAGTTAATACTTTAACATTTATCACGTTCGCACCAAGAAAAGAGCCCTTATTGTTGTTATATCCAACTCCTAATGTTATTCAAGAATGACAAAAATAAAAAAAAAGTTGATTAACAGTCGCGCTTATAAATACATTCGTTCTTCTTTGCTTTCACACTAAAAAAAACCTACCCTAAATTAGGAACATACACTGTAGAATTAACCTGGATCAATAGTAATCGATAATGAGTAGCAGTATAACTTATGCTAAGCTTAGGTAGCAGAATTGTTTGAAATCTTTGTTAAAAATTGTGCATAAAATATCTATGCTTTCACATAGACAGCATAATTAGAAATTCCGCACATGTTTTTCCCCCTTTTGAGATACATGTAACCACTTTCGCCCCATTCGTCACTCCACCAATTTTTAATGATCCAGGCATCTTCGGTATAGCCGACCAATAGGACGGCATGGTTCATGGAATGTCCCGTGCATTCCGGATCGTCGTAAATCCCTTTTTCGTACAGTTTGAACGTCTCAGGTCTGGAATTAATCGCCACTGGGATGGGCCCGTAATTCGCCAGGGCGGTTTTCAATCCGTCTTCGTCCCCAGCAGGCAGGACGTTCCAGAATTTGATTTTAGCTGAAACTTTGTTCGACTCGAATCGGCACGCAGATTGGTTTCCGTCGTATGGATAATCTTTCTCGGTCATCAGTCCGTGTCTTTGGACGTAGAGGAGGGTGTTCAGGAATGTTCCTCCGTTGCAACCGAGGTTTCCGTTATTGTACGAACAGTCCACGATCTGTTGTTTGCTAAGAGGTTCGTATTTTCCTCTTTTGATGAACATCTGAAAAGTAAAAAATAAAAATTTGACTTACACACAAATTAGATCTGCTTTAACAATCCATTCAATCACGATCTCTACTTGGTAATAAGTGGCTCGGCTTCTACCATAGATTAAAGTTAGGACGAACCCGTTGCTTGATTAATTAATATTTTTCAATTAATTAAGATTTTTTAGATGAGATAAAAAAGTCAGTGTCACGAGCGGGATTCGAACCCACGACCTTCGGCTAGATACACCACTGCTCTACCACTTGACCAAATAAATTCTTTTCAATTAATTAATCTTTAATTAAGGATTAGGACGATTTCGTGTAATCTATTTGATTCTCGGCGACAAATGAAATGGCCACGAGGTGGATCGAAGTCACGATAGCTCAAGTGGTAGAGCAGCGGCCTATCTAGCCGAAGGTAGTAGGTTCGAATCCCGCTCGTGACACTGACTTTTTTATCTCATCTAAAAAACCTTAATTAAAGATTAATTAATCGAAAAGAGTTTATTTGGTCAATCGGATGGTTAGGGATGGATTATTAGTCCCTTCTAAAAATACTAGTATTGAGGATTTTTGGATTATTATAAATTTCAAAGGTTTTTACGGTTATTCTTGGTTCCTACTATTTACCTGATTATTAAATAAATTTTAATGTGCTCAGGGCAAGACTATGAAGGCTCACAGCCATTGAAAGGAAATATTTAATATGTAATTTATAAAAAAAGATATTTGTACTTACTTGAGCTTGAATGGAAGCAGCAACGCTGAACGCATAGCAAGCAGAACAGTTTTTCTGGTTCCACGACGGTGTCACGAATCCCCTTTTCCGCCAGTCGAGCTCTTTCGGGATGCTGATCCTGGGACGAAGACGACGTCTAAGAATACTTTCATCAGATATCTTTTCGCCGACTTTCATTATTTTGTTCGAACGACTCAGGTCGGAAAGTAGATTATAACTTCCGCCTTTTTTCACTTCCTCGTCGTGGAGACTAATTTTCCTCGCGATTATCGGCTCGTCTGACTTTTCGTCCCTCTCCAGATGGCGACTGGAAGCACCTACGGGTGCGAAGGTTAACACTAGCAGTAGACTTGTTATCATTTCTGACCGTTTTCAGACTGATATACATTTTTCTTCGATTCGTTGGAAAAGCTGACAATACGAAACGAAATCAATGTCGTAATATCCGCCTTATTTTCCAATATTTGATGGTTTTTTCCTTCCTGTAAAAGGTGGACGATCTGTCCGACTTCGACCCTTTCAATATTTACCTATCATCTATCTCCATCCTTGAAGTCCAACGCACGTAGAAACACATAAAATCACAAATATTATAACAGGCAAGTGTGTGACTTTATGTAAAATATCGTAACAGGTTCATGATGTACGAAATCGATTTCGAGGTTCAATTTTGTAATATCCGCTCTATTTCCTTATATTTTATAATATTTGCGATTTTCTTATTGGACAATATATTGTTTTCAATTACTTATATTTTATAATATTTGTTTGGTTCAAAAAAGTATTACCTGGGCCTTTATTGATTTCTTAAACAAATTGGAAAACTGGCCACATTTTTACAAATTATTGAGAAATGTTGCCTACTTTTAATAAGGAAATCAGAGGGAAGAAAGGAAGACAAATTCGGTTGCCGAAGTAATTATTATCAGACATATTTATTTCATAAGGAGAACGACGAAAAGACAGGTAGACAGATAAAAAAGAACATGGAATGACGAGAAGAGAAGCCAATGCGTGAGAGAAAAATACAATACAGTCACCTTGATACCAGCAGAGTCTTCTCTCCCAAAAAGCTGCTGGATTCGTTTGGCTCAGAGACCGTATGTTGAAGCTCCCATTAACACCTGCTAATTATGACAAGGAATTACATACAATTAAAACCTTGGTTAAAAACAATGGATATCAAGAAATATTTATCGATAGGTTACTAGTAAAAAGAATAAAAAAATTAAATTTAAAATAAGCAATAATCGGACCCAGTCAACCCACCAAACATGAATTTTTAGTTTGCTTGCCATATTTTAGGGAACAATCACAAAATTGGGTAAAATTCTAAAAATTAGTAGGTTTTACAGTAGATTAAAGAGGTGCGTGTTCACTTAGAATCATCGTCTCAAAACGTCAACAAGGTAGACAACTTGTCAAAAAGCGGAGTTTACGAACTTAATTGAAGCGATATTAAATATATAGGACATAGCTGCAGAGAAATAGATAAATAAATAAAACGAGAGTTAAAGAACTCATGCCTAAATCGAACACATCTTCTGAATTGAAGGGCCATCTAAATGAAACAAAACGCAATTTCAATTTAAATTTAAATACACCAGTTTTATACTGTTTCAGCAAAGAGAGGGAACTAGGTTGGTTGAGAAATTTGAAATAAAAAAATGTAAAACATGGAGATAAATGCATAAATAATGTAATAGATTTTCATCTACCCCCCATTTTAAATGTATACCTAAATAATATACAATGACATACAAATTAATCACTAATTTGAAATTATTTTCTTACAGTATTTATTAGGATATTATTTAATTGTGGCGTAATTCACGTTTTTTGCACTTCAAAATTGAAAGGCATTAAACCAGCTTCTCATTGGAACGTCTCGTTTGCGGTGAATCTTACAATTCCTATCGAGAGAGGCGTGATTGAAACTCGTTCAACCTGATGATGACCGTTTACTGCTTGAAATCAGGATTGTTGAAAGCTTTGTGAGTAGAACCATCATTTACAAAAAAGTCAGAAAAAAAGTAGTATTGGCAATGGTCGTTTTGTTTATAATTGGAGTTCTACTCTGCAATTTAATTATATCATTAATTTCTAACGTAACCGCTATGTAATGCAAGCGCAACAAACTGCCTCTTGTAATAATGAAGTAACCGGACTGCTGACTTGTCATCGAACGAAATAAACTGTCTCCCCCCTAAAAAAAAATCGTAACACTGAGATTTTTGGATTTTCCGAGAACATCTGGTTTTACACGAATCATATATAACAATAAATTATTCAGAAATCGTGAGATGCGGTCTGGTGTGATGTAGGTTTCAGAAAAACATTTTCTTTATCGTGCTAACGTTTCGATCTTTATTGAGATCATCTTCAGGGCCTCGGATTTACAAACATTGTTTAAATTTAACAAATTCATGTAGGTTTAATTTGGCACGATAAAGAAAATGTTTTTTTGAAACCTACATCACACAGACCGCATCTCACGATATAACACACATATAACAATAAAAAGGCTTACTCGTACAACGTCGTCTCACGCTGGCGATAAAGCTCCTTTTAGTGTTTTAAGTGCGACAATGATATTGGTGTAATGAAGTTACTATAGTACTTTTACAATTTTAATTTTTTAGATAAAATTTTTTTCAAATATTTTATTTTGAATGACTTTTGTGCTAGCCCGTAACCCTTTCTCAGCTGTTCTGTTGTAGCTGAGTGTTCGTCAAGTACTTTAATCAGTCAAAGTACAAAAAATCTTCAGTGAAATATTAAATTATAATACATAGTAATGAATTAAAAAAATATACAGTAAATAACAGAAGAACAATCACATTTCACAATCAAGCTAATAAATACGTTCCTCTATTTTTCAGAGGCAGATGTTTCTGCAAAAATCCTAACTTCTAAACTAGATCTATTACATTGCTACAATAAAATTAATTCTAACTTTTTAATTATTTTTATCAGCTTATTCTTAATTATATAATTACTCAAATAATTGTACCTAGTTTTTTCGCAATGAAAAATTGTGTATGATTAATTGAGTAATTATAAAATTAATTACAATCATGGTAAGAAATGCATTCAATATTTTTGTTTTTAGCACCAAGAATAATTTTGTTTACGTAGACACTTTTTATATCATAATATTCACCCTCATAAATTCGTTATTACTGTTATTTACTATCTCGCCAATAAATTAGAGTGTTAGATGAGAATGAGTAAATAGAAACATAATTCACAGTCGCGCTAATAAATACATTCTTTCTTAATTACATTCTGACCAAGAAACATACCATAAATTATGAACGTATGTGAGAGAATTAATCAACATGTTATCATATTTTCGATTTAAAATGGCATTTAATAGTAAGACCCTCGTGCTTAAGTAATTGCTACCATTCCCATTGCTTTTTGATGGGCTGATGAAACTTCTTTGACTTCGAGAAGAAACGACGTGGAGATATGCGATATTTTGAAAATGTCGAGGCATCGTTTTCAGAGGCTAATTACCCAACTTTTTCGAGGCTTTCCTGAGGAAACGAAGGTTCTGTATCAGATTGGACACTTTTTCGACCGCACTGAACGCTATTGCTGACAGTGACCTCCGACCTCTGCTTTTTCTTTTCAGGGAAAGATCTAGAAGTCGGATGGGTGATGCAGTCGATATAAACGTTATGGCTGGAAGAGTTTGTGTCCACTTTTGGAGGCTGAGGAAGGCCATTTTTGTCTGAGGGACGCTGCGATAAGATACGTAGAGTCGGCGAGATTTCTCGGCGTTGATCAAAAGTTAATATGACATCCACACATCGAACCTGTCGAGGGGTAGGGAAAAAAGTTAAAAAAGCTACATTACTAACGTTCGTCGGTCACTTCAGGCGGGGAGCCGACAGGGAGACGAAAAATACGCTTGCAGAGGATTGATAAGGTCTAGTAGCAGGGCCTTAGGCCTAGTACATGGTTAGTGGGGTTCCTGACCAAACCGAGACATCTGCTTTCGGGTGCGAACCTATACGAGTAACTTCCAACTCGGATGCGACTGCTAGCAAAACTAGCCGACGAAGCGGGATGACACTGGGAACGGTACTCGAGCTGGGCAACCGGCCGACTCCGCCTTGGCTAATGACAAGACGATTAACGATGTGACCCAAACCCTTTTCCTTGGAGGTTAATGATTCTTATCGATCCACTGGAGCGTTGTAGGAGGAAATAGGGAAAGATTTCTACTAGGTCTAAAAAATAGTTACCTTCGAATGTAAACAGTTATTAATGATTAATCCCCAATATCTCTGTTGCAACAAATAGTATTACTAGTAATACAAATAAAACGTGGGTTACAATCAAAAACTAATAAGAAATATCGAAATTTATAGGTGATGCGATATATTTTTTTATTTATTTAACTTTCTTTTAAGGAAAGCTAATTTATGGCCTTATGTTAATCATATTAGCCAATGGTTTATAATTATGAATAATTTTTTTCCTTTTCTTTTTTCTTCCTTCCTCTTTTTTTACGTTTGTTATATTATGATTTTGTTTAGATAAATGTATTTAATTAAGGGTTCAATTACATCAGTTCTTCGGGAGTAACATAGGAGATTGAACACTGTGATGGGAAGAGGTATGCCGGCCATAATCAGCGACCTGTAAAATGCTTCTCTGCCTGAGGCGGTAAGAGGGCACTCAAGAAGGACGTGGTTGGATTGGCCACTACTAAGTTGTTGCAGGAGCAGTAAGGGGAATAAGGATTTTAATTTTGTAAAGGTGGACAGGTAGACTATGGTGGTTTAGTCGGAGGGGGATTATGGAAGTGATGGATTGTCGGGGATAATTCAAAGAACCGGACCACGGGAAGGGAGGAATATGGGTTTGAATTGATTTGTAAACGTTGACATTACTTGTGGAACTAAACTCCCTTTGTCAAGATCTCAAGGAGTAGGAGGATACAAATGAGATGAACCAACCGAGATGGAAAACTGCAAAGGACCAGATATGGCCGCCTCTTCGCCACTCTATCGGCTTCATCGTTGTAAACATTGTCGTTATGTCCTTTTACCCAGATAAATGTTAGTGTTGGAGGTTTTTAACTGACATATTAAATTGAAAATCTGTGTGAGGATAAAGTGATTGGCTTTAAGGATACTATGAAGGGAATGGACCACACTTTGGCTGTCAGAGAATATAATTAAGTCGGAAGGGTTCATAGTCTGAGCATACTTTAAGGCTTCCAAGATTGCTAACGCTTCAGCAGTAAAAATGGAGGCGACCCCACTCAGTTTAATTTGTACGGCGAAATTATGCAGGGATTAAAAAATGAAGCGCCTACCAGATTATCCTACTTGGATCCGTCG